TCTGGCTTTCCAGTAGATTCAGTGAAGGAGTAGTTTTGGTTTCTTTGCAAGCCAAGGGTAGTTAACATTGCTAATTTTTATAGATTTCGAAAGCATCTTATTTACATAATGATATTTCTGAATTGATTAGGTCCTTAATATCCTCAAATGTCTCTCACTGCCATCTTGTCTTGGGGATCTCAATGTTGGCTGCACAATGGGAATACCTAGGAGATTTTTTGTTTTTCTTCTTATTTACTTGGTGTCAAGCCTACTCTGTGAAACTCTAACTCAGTTGACTGGGATGAAGTTGAGCACTGATAATAAGCACCTTGGTGGTACTGGCCTATTTTGCAGTCTAACAACAGGCTGTGATTTGTGTCTCTACTTCCTCTCAATGTTACCCAGTGAGCTCATTTGCCTCCCCTCTGTTTTGTGCTTATTTCCTATTTCCTGAGAACTTCAGACATAGAAAATAATCTTTAATCTCAGACATACCTAAACACAGGAGCCACCCTCCTGAAAGCCTGCGAGATTCTATGAGAAAACCTTCCTGGACTAGGGTTAAAGTGTGCCCCTGTATCTTGCTATGAAATTGCAGGGACTTGAGTCTTAAAGGACTTTAGTTTCTGTGTTGTTCAGCTTTTCTGTTTTCCCCATGATAAAATGAAAGTGTGAAGATGTAGGGGACAAGACTTAGTCATGCCTGGCAGAGCTCAGATGAGAACCCAGGTGTAGCACAAATCTTAAAAGGTCTTATTAATAAAAACAAACCCGGAGCCAAATATTGGGTGATTGCGGAAAGATCAGAGAAACAGAACACGCCATATCCTCACCTTGCCAGTTCCTCAGCTGATCTTGTTTCCTCAAACTGAAAACCTCTTGTGTCCTTATCCGAATGGATCTCAGCTGAACTGCTGCTCAAAAGCCTAAAAGCTTAACATCCTCTAGTTCCTGGTCTTCATGCCTTATATACCTTTCTGCTTCCTGCCATCACTTCCTGCGATTAAAGGAGTGTGTCATCAGGCCTAGCTGTTTCTAGTGTGGCTTTGAACTCACAGATCCAGATATTAAAGGAGTGTGTGCCACCATTTTCTGGCCCCTATGTCTGTCTAGTGGTTGTTCTGTTCTCTGACCCCAGATAAGTTTATTAAGGTTCAAATATATTGGAGGACACAGTATTACCACACCCAAGTTTTCCCAGGGTTTCACTATCTGCCACCATCAGAGAACATGAGTCTCTTCTATTAGGAGTCCAGATAGAGAAAATACATTTAACTCAGTATAGGTGGTTCAGCCTCCACACATGACCTTCAAACACAATAGGTTTGTCTTGGTTAGTTCCAACTATCAACTTGACTCAATCTAATTACCAGGGAAGAGAAAGACCTCAACTGAAAAATGGCCTGTGTCAGATTGGCCTATGTCCCTGTCTAAGAGGAAGTGATTTGATGGTGATTGATGTGGGAGAGTCCTGCCCACTGTGATTGGCACTATCCCGAGGCATGTGGGCCTGGGCTGTATAAGAAAGCTGGCAAAGAAAAAGCCAGGAAATAGCATTCCTTCATGGTTTCTGCTTCAAGTTCCTACCCTGCTTAAGTTCCTGCCTAGATTTCCACCATCAGCTTCCATGCATGGCCTTCAAACACAATATGACTGTGCCTCAGAAGTATAAACAAAATAAACTCCTTTCTCTAAGATGCCTTTTAGTCCTGGTGTTTATCACAGCAACAGGAAGTGAACCAGATCAAAGACGAACAGCAGCAGCAGCAGCAGCACAATAATCCAAACTACTGCTTTTTGACAATGTGAAAACACAGCTCTCACCCCAAAGAAAGTAAGAAATCATCTAACAAATGGCAGTTCCCATGGCCTAGGAACAGAGATTCTTGTTACCCCCAGTTCCATGTTCCAGGCTAATATGGTTTGACCAGCCAAGACCCCTGAAAGATCTCCAATGACACCATGGCCCAGATCATCCAACATCTAAAATCAGCTTCAAGGCAACTGGCTCAGAGAATTCAGCCTCACAGACTACTCCAGTCAGGATTTGACCATATCCTAAAATTTTCTTTGTGTTCCCATAAGATTACCAGCGCCCTCTATCAGCAGGAAGTAGCCACTTGGCATTAATATAGTTTATCCCTAAGCCTTTCTGTATTAGTTAGGGTTTCTGTTGCTGTGAAGAGACATCATGACCATAGCAACTCTTATAAAGGAAAGCATTTAATTTTAACTGGCTTACAGTTCCATTATCATCATGGTGGGAAGCATGGCAGTGTGTAGACAGACACGGTACAGGAGAGGCAGCTGAGAGTTCTACATCAGGATCAGCAGGCAGCAGGAAGAGACAGTGAGACATTTGACCTGGTTTGAGCATCTGAATCCTCAAAGTCCACCCCCAGTGACACACTTCCTTCAACAAGGCCATACCTACTCTAACAAGTTCATACCTCCTAATAGTGCCATTCCCCGTGAGCCTCTGGGGACCATTTTCATCCAAACCACCACATTCACCAATCCAAAAAAGTTAAATATGTATTTATTGAACTTATTATTAATTTTAAGAGATTATAAAGATACTGAAATCATCAGCAAGGTAGAGACGAAGGCAAAGGTCAATTCATTTTTCAGTGTTTTATTTTAATCACACTTGGATCATTTCTTAGAAGAATACTTATTATTGCATCTTTTAGGCATTTTAACTTATAAGTAAGAGAAAATTGCCACTATTATGCAGTTTTTACCTGATGAAATTTCTCATTTTGGAAGATGAACAGATCTAGTAATCAAAAGAAACTTTGTAGGGATTGGAGCTACAGATCAGAGGTTAAGAGTGTTAGCTGTACTGTCATGATCCCAGCAACTGTGTGACAAGCTGTGCACTATATTCTTAGATTAAGTGTTTTTGAAGGTTTTTATTATAATTTATTCATATTTGTGTGTCTGTGTGAATGAGTGAGCATGTGCATGGACGTGTGTGTGTGTGTGTGTGTGTGTGTGTGTGTGTGTGTGTGTGTGTGTGCAGGGAGGGGAATGGATCAGAGGAAAACTTGTAGGGGTCAGTTGCCTCCTTTTCCACCATGTGGACCCCAGAGACTGAACTAAGGTTTTCATACTTAAAAGTCTTACCGTCTAAGCCATCTCACCAGCCCCAGACTGAGGACTACTTAAAGATAAAATTATGATTCATTCACTTCTGAGCGTGTGTCACCTGATAATGGTAGCCCCTTTGGGAAAAATTAAGTTCAAGTATAGGGTTTAGGATGACATAGTTTATCTATCATCAAAGACAGAAAATGTCTTCTTTTCTAACTTAATGGGTCATTTTTCTCCCTCTGATAGAGACATAAATAAATCAACTAGGGCTTTCTTTATTCTTAAGAGATCCATTAAAATCTAGTGTGTTAACTTCACAGATCATAAAGTGCAATTTCATATAAAATACCACATATAATCCCCCAGAGTATAATATGTAGATATATTATCATTAAATATATATTGTTATCTTGAATTTATGCATGAAAGTAACTTTTATCATTACATGCAGCTATTATTACTTGTTTTCTTCTAAGTAAATAATATGTTCTTGTAATATAAACAGGGAAAATTGTAGAATATTATTTTTGAGTATATTAACTACTATCCCAGTAGTAAAAGATAACCTTGCTTCGTTTTTTGAGGTGTTGGAGATAAAACCCAGGCTCTCGTGTATGCTAATTCCACTCTCTGCCACTGAATTATATTCCTAGTTCTTGGATTTTTATTGTATACAAGAAAATGTCGTAACCTAGCTTCCCCTCAATAGTATATTCTCTCACTGTCTTTGGCAGTTGTATAACACTGTGTTATGACTGGTAGTACAATCTGTTGAAACTTTTGTGAATGAGCTTTGGGTTTTTCCCCAATGATCTGCCATTAGAAGTCATATGATATTGAACAAAATCATATGTATTCCATATCCACTTATTCAATCATTTCCTCAAGATACTTCTAGTTGTAAATACTAGTTGTAGAATCATACATGAGAGACTGTATATGCTTAAAATTTGATAGGTTTTGAGATGACAAAGTTTGTTTTCTAAGAAAGCATTGGAATGCTCCATGACTGTCTTTTAACTCATCCATGCTGCATATTTATCTTATTAATAAAGATTTCCCATTTTAATTACTATCAAGTTAATTTGTCACAATAATTGTGCATTACAACTACTCATGTCTTTCTGTTTACAATTCTTCTGAAATTTGTCTATTTTTACTTTTGTCCACCCTTCTGTTTAAATGTTCTATGCATTAGGCATTTGAAATGATGCCATAGATTATAGGATGCTGTTTAAATTCAGTTCTTGCTTATACAGACCCTTTCTGGTTATGGTCATTTTCTCTGATTGTTGCTCAGCATACTGTTCACTTTTACTGCCTCCTATCCTCATAGCTGCTCAGAGTTAATTATGTTGTTATTTCACCTCATACATAATAGATAAAGTACCAAGCCTGCAATGTCAAGCTAGCAATCCTTGGGTCATATCTAGACCACTAACTTTTAAAAAAATTAAATGTTTTTCTCATGGAGTAGTTTTATTTTTTAAATTTGTGCTATACTTTATTTTGGTTTGGTTTTCAAAATAATAAAATTGATTTTCAACACTTTCAAAAATCAATTATAAAACTAATTTACAGAAATAATTACCACTGAAAATATAGTCTGCCCTTCTCTTGAATATATGCTTGGTTACCACCTTACCTGTGGTGCCTACACACATAATAGCTAGTCTCACTACTGTATCTGAGCCCATTGACCTTGAAGCAGGAGTTCTTAGCCCAAAAGACTGACATTTTTGAGTCATATAATTCTTTGGGTGGTTGGAAGCCTGACCAGTTTATTTTGTAGTTCTTAGCTCCACCATCTTTATTCACTAGACATCACTAGCACAACTTCTACCACCCAGTTGTGGCAACCAACCAAGGCTCAAGCCATCACCAAGCCCTCTGTAGAAGAACTCACATTTGTTTCTTTGTAGATTACCTCCTTAGAATTCGGAGTCTCTGATGGTGGTCCAACCCTGTAGAAGATTCAAGCTCAGTCTCCAGTAACAAAGGTCATGTTTTGCTCTCCCTGCTTCAAATCATCCTCCCAGCTGTCTTTTGTGTGAAAGTGAGAATGATCTCTGAACTGGGCCTTGGAAGCTAAAGTAAAAGGAACAATTGATGGCCTCTTCTCAGACTACAAGGGTCAGGTGTATGAAGGATAAGATGTCCCAAGGCTCCCATTGAGGAAGATACGTGACTACGAGATTCTGTAAGCTGCAAAAGCTCCACTTCCCTCGATAGACTGATCACAGGTATAAAGCCAAGGGTCAAAGATATTCAAGAGTCAAGGAAGACAAGAGCTCTCTATGCTCTCAGAATCTTCTCTGTTGTTCCTGGATAATCATTACAGGAAATGTATTTCTTCTCCAGCAATAACTAAGGTGAGCAAGACAATACCCATCTGGATAAGCTGGAACTTGTCTTGTTCCTTTGCTTTGGAAGACTGGGTCTGTGGACACTGGGATGTTGTTCCCCTCTTACTGTTGGGCTTTTCTTTTTGGCTCAGGCTTTGCTGTTTTATCTTTTATGTAGTGATTCTTCATTCAGTTTTTTTTTTTTTTTTTTTGTTTTTCTGGGACCAGTTAAAAACTATTGTTATGCCCAAATTGGGTCTTTTTTGTTTTGGCTGAATTTATGTGAACTTTCTTCCCTTTCTGGTCAAATCCATCATCTCTGTACTCTAATGGAAAAAAAAATTCTAGCTGTTTGATGTTCATCCTTCCCTACTTTCCTCAACTGATACAGTATTTTTCTTATTTCTATATTTATATTTTCATTTTTATATCCATAGAATATAAGACAAAAGAGAATTTCAATATATGGACTCAATTTACCAGCTGGAATCCAAGCCAAGCAGAAGGAATTCCTAGGATAGAGAGAGAGGTACTTGCTGGGCTATGATCACTTTCGGAGATTTTTAAGTAGGTTCCTGAGCATAACAAGAGAATAGGTCAAGGACTGTGCACTGCCCAATGTCACCGCATTCATGTTGATGGGACACAAGATGATTTGAAAAAATTGATACGAATGGTTGAAGTATATTGGTGGCAGTGAGGAAAGACAGCCTTATCAATTCCTCATTCTTGGTCTTTTGCTTAACATGTCATTCATTCATGCATGCAGTTAATATTTATTGAATATTTATGTTTTTTCTAACACTGGAGCTAATGAAGCCAAGTAAAACTAAAAGAGTATTCTTTCCCTTATGAGTGTATATGTTTAGGGTGAAAGGTGCAATACAGTAAGCAAATAGGCAGCATGACTTCATATAGCAACGGTGTTTATGAGGAACACAAAGGTATGTGACAGAGGCATATAAGGACTGGAGAAAGTGCTACTTTATTTTTCTTTTATTTACATTTGTATTTAACATATAATTACATCACTTTCCCCCTTTCCCTTTCCTTTTTTCAGCCTTTCCCAAGGTCCCTCCTTCCAACACCCGCCATGTCCTCCAACTCTGAAATTAATAGCCTCTTCTTCTCTGATTATTATTGTTACATATCTATATATGTGTATATACACAAGTATACAATTATAAATTTCTGAGTCAGTTTTTATTTGTGTACATATGGTTTAAGGGCTGACAACTTTTTTTTAAGCAACCGATGAGGGGGCTCATCCCTGGGAAAAGCTAACTTTCCATTTGCCTGTAGTTCCTTATCCAGAGGGATGAAGGAATGACCCAGTGAAATTTCCCCCTTTCCTTGTTAATATGCCTATGGTTACTACAACTTTTCAGATCTTATTAATGCAGCAATTTCTGTAAGAGAGCATTTCACAGCAGATTGCCTAGTATTCTGGATCTCAGAATCTTTGCACCCCCCCCTTCCACAATGTTTTTGGAATCATAGATGCAAGAGATGAGATGTAGATATATCCATTGGGGATGGGACCCCCATGATCCTGGGATTTCTGTATTGTGTCTGGTTGTGGTTTTGTCTAATGGTCTATATTTGCTGTAGAAAGCTTCTTTGATGAGGGGTTATAGTTATGCTTATTGTGGGTAAAAGAGTAAGATTTAGGATATACTTAGGTATTATGCTGATCTAACAAAGTGGTGCTAGTAGACTCTCCTCTAAGTGTTATGATTTCACTGGCCACAGGAAGGTTGGCGAAGTTTTTAATACCAGGAATGGTTTCCATACTATTGAGTGAGCCTTACGTCCTATTACACAGCTGTTGGTTACCACCAACACATGAGTGCCACTTATTGCACCTTTAGATATATCTTACCGTGCTGGTCATTGTTGTGGTTCATAGGTGTCACAGCTAGGTAAAATGATTAATTGCTTCCCTCTTTTGGCAGCTGACATAGTATTCTCTGTTACCATGGAAGCCAGATAGCAGGCAACAGGCTTTAAGGTAAGCTTAAAAGTGCTATTTTAGGTAGGCAATCAAGAGGTCCTCTGGAGAAATGTTTTCGGGGTTCTGAAGAACAGGGAAGGAATGAGCTATGTAAAGATCAGGAGAAAGTCTGTCAAAGAAAGAAGGGGTGTAAATGATGATCAAAGAAAGGAAACCAAGCAGGTCAATGTGATTAGAGTAGAATACAGTAACCAGGAAATCAATAAGTTCGTTAAGTTTGGGCTTTCTGGGGCTAAAATCCATAACTGGAAGAGGTTTGGCTCTTTGGAAGTGATTGTATTCAACAGCCATGAAGGACTGAGGTACTGATGATGATGATGGGGGAGATGGGTATCTTAGCTACCTTTCCTGTTGCTGTGACAGAATGCTCGGACAAAATCAGCTAAAGGGAGAAAGGGGTGTACTTATCTCATAGTTTCAGGTCTTAGTTGATTATGACAAAGAAGTCAGGACAATGGTAGCTGGTGACACTAAATTCTAGTCAGAAATGAGCAATGAGTGCATGGGTGGTAGTGCTCAGTTCACATTATCAACTCTTAGACAGTCTAGGATCCTATACCTAGGAAGAGATACCATCCACAGTAGGTGGGTATCCCCATCTCAATTTATAAAATCAAGACAATCCCCTACAGACATGCTAATAGGCTTCTCTCTCATGCGATTCTAGATCTTGTCAAGCTGACAATCAACACTCCCTGTCACAGCAAGCCATCAGTCCTAATTATATCTCCCTCTTCTTATTTGGTGTCCCATGAGCTGCTCCTATTTTAAATGAGCTCAGCACCGTGGATGGCCTGGGGGCCTGTTAAAAATGGAGACACATGGACCTCACCAGAGTCTAATTGAATCAGAACCTGGGCTTTAACAAGATTTCCCATGACATTCCCACACTAGTTAAAGTAGATGGTGATGAGGCAGTCAGTAAATCGTGAAGAAACATCAGATAGACTCAAACTGGGAGACAACTGACAGAGTGAGAAGGGAAAGTCTACAAAACCATTAAGACTGTAAGAGTCAAAGTGAAGTAAGACATATTAACTAAATTCAACGCTTCATCCTATGTGGAAAGTGAATCTTTTTTGTTTGTTTGTTTTGTTTTTATTTTTTCATTTTTCCAGACAGGGTTTCTCTGTGTAGCTTTGCACCTTTCCTGGAACTCACTCTGTAGCCCAGGCTGGCCTTAAATCCACAGAGATCCACCTGCCTTTGCCTCCCGAGTGCTGGGATTAAAGGCGTGTGCCACCACCATCCAGCTGTGGGAAGTGAATCTTAGCACACATAAATATAGAATTGGGATGGCTAGCCAAACTTGAACGGGTTCCTGGACGAAGGATATATGGGAGATTTCGTGTGTGTGTGTGTGTGTGTGTGTGTGTGTGTGTGTGTGTGTGTGTGTGTGTGTGTGTTTGAAGGGTCATGGGTGAATAGTTTTGTTCTTTATTTGTCCAGTTTTGATTGTTATTGGCTGTGACCAAGCTGAAGGAGAGGGTACCAGGGGAGTCTTCAATCCAAGGGCATGCTGAGCCTCCTTCTTGCAGCTTCAGCTAGCAGCCAGTGGTCCACCCAGGATCGCTAGGCACTCTCCACAAGCCTTCTTCATCTTCTGCTGCAGGTGCTGTCCCAGGCAAGGAAAGGGAGCATCAGATGTCAGAGAGATAACCAGAGAAAACTCATGAGTGGGATTCACAGCAATATTTAGCTGCAGAAAAGCTAGAAACATGGTTGAAACATTTATAGCTCCCAGCTATAAATTTTACAATTCATTTGTTTTGCAATAATCACTGTTTACTATTAGAGATTTTACAGTTGCCTTTTTCTGTGCATAAATAATGTATTCCTTTATGTTCAGAGTTGACACACACAGTGGGCTTAAGAATTTGCTGCATGGACTCTATAGTTTAGAAGCCTGTAGTCTCAGGAGGTTCCAGGATTTGGATTGAAAGTTACCCTGGGATATTGAGTAATTTCAAGGGCAACCAAGGCAACTTAGTGAGCTCCTGATAAACAAAAAGTCTTAGGTATAACTCAGGGGTAGTGGATGAGTTACTTTTCTCACCTCTGTGCCTAAATATTTGGCAAAGACAGTTTAGGAAAGGAAAGGTTTCTATTGGCTCACAGTTTGAGGACACAGTCTATCCTGGCAGGGAAGTTTTGAAATCAGGGGCATCCAGGCAGCTGGTCACGTTGCATCTAAGTTGGAAAGGAGAAGAGAGGTGGTAGCTCTCAGGTTTGCCTGCTCTTTCTTATTTTTATTCAGTCTAGAGCTCTAACCACAGGATGATGTTGTCCACATTCAGTGTGAGTCTTCCCTCCTGGGTTAAACATATCACATCTGAAAACACCCTCACAGACATACCTAGAGGTGTGTTTCCATGGCAATTCTAAATCCTGTTGAGCTGTAAATTAAGATAGAGAGTTTGCCTAGACTGCAGGAGGCTCTAGGTTCAATCATCAATCATCGGTACTGCACAGAAACAAAATGTCACCGTGCTGTGACAGGAGATGATGGTCAATTCTCACTGTCAACTTGACAATACACAGGTATAACTCCAAAGCACAACACAGTGTTCACAGCAATCAATGGCGATAAATCCTGTCATTTACTTAGAGAATCTATGAGCACTGTTGACCTTCCTCAGTGTAGTTCTGTTGCACAAATCCTAAATGGCCTTATAATAAAAGCCCAGAACCAGATATTGGGGTAAATGTTGAAAGATCAGAGGAAACAAAGGAACAAACCACAACCACTTCTCACCTTGCCAACTCCATGAATCCTCTAACTGAATGCCTCTGAGTCCTCAGCCAAAAGACTCCTAGTTCCTGTCTCCTCATGCCTTATATGCCTATCTCCTCCCAGCCATTTCACTTCCTATCTCAACCTTCCTAGTGCTGGGGTTAAAGGTGTGTGTGCTTCCCAAATACTGGGATTAAAGGTGTGTGTCAGCACTGCCTGGCTCTGTTTCTCTCCTAGATTGGATCAATCTCATGTAGCCCAGTGTGGCCTTGAACTCAC